CCCTGCTTGTTTCACTAGCACCATGGGCAGGGTATAAACTGGATTCATTCAGACTTTTTTTCATGTGACCAAGGCATGAACCAGGCATAGGCACAGATCAAAAGCCTAGCTGGGATAAACAAGGGGTTGCTTTGTTCCTGGATGATGTGAGATGGGCACCACCAACCAGATGCCACTCTGCCCAGGGCTGGGACATCATTCGGACTTGTCACACTCTTCTGATTTAAAGATGTATACAGAGGAGATACAGGTAGGGAGTGTGAGGTGTCTTGTCTCAAGATTGTCACGAAGTATATCTATGTTCACAATGATCTTATTTTGCATTTCATAAAAACATTTTGAGTTGTCCCTTGGCCTCTCAATATGTTATAAATACAAGAGAATAAATTTTAGCAAATATTTTAAAAGTTTTAAATACACATGGACTTCAGGAGAAGCATCTGCTAACTGGGGTGTGGGGCTGTTAAAGGAGAACACAATTCCAGGGACCTGGGTCCTCCTCTTGAGAAGGCCCTGCCCCTAGCACCTCAGTTTTTGCTATTCCAGACACTCTAGAATGTTTCTAAACTACTGGAATGGAAGGATGACTTTTATGACTTGAGGTTTGGTGATTCTCAGCACCTTCTCCTCTCTTAGACTAAGAATGCATTTTCTGCACTGTTCTCCCTTGCACAGCAGCTGTGACAGGTCACAAGCTCTCAACTCCTGGGAAAAAGGAAAAATGGGCTGCAAATCCTTTAAAGAGCCTGAACTTTGGTTTTGAAATTGAATTGTAAATGCAAGTCAATTACGTGGGAGGTAATATGGGCCCTGGGGCGAAGGCTGCTGCTGACCAGCTGTGTGACCTTGGACAGTGACTCAGCGTCTTTTGGCCCTCAGCGTCCCCATCTGTATGAACAGTAGGGTTGGCTGATCTCTAGGGTCCTTCTAGATCTAGCATTTCATATTCTTTGTTTCCCTGATTGTCACTGTTTTTACTTTATCTGATGATACTCTCTTGTTTAGGAAGCAAAGAAAATTGAGTTATCTTTTTTAAATTTTAGAATATTACAGGGGTACAAATAAAACATTTATAAACAAACAGTTTACATGGATCGCTTTTATATTGCTTGAGTCAAAGTTATAAGTGTGTGCCCATCACCCAGATAGTGGGCATTATTGTACCCTACCCCCTCCTCCCACCTGCCTGATTTCCACTGAGTTTTACTTCCATCTGTGCACATGAGTACTGATCGGTTAGTTCCAATTTAATAGTGAGTACATGTGGTGTTTGATTTTCCATTCTTGCCATACTTCACTTAGGAGAATGGTCTCCGGTTCCATCCGGATTGTTGCAAAAGTTTGTGTTTTTTTCTTGAGACAGATTCTTGCTCTGTTGCCCTCAGTAGAGTGCAGTGGCATCATCATAGCTCACTGCAACTTCAAACTCCTAGATTCAAGAGATCCTCTTGCCTCAACGTCCCAAGTAGCTGGGACTACAGGCACATGCCACAATGCCCTGCTGATTTTTCTATCTTTTAGTAGAGATGGGGTCTCACTCTTGCTCAGGCTGGTCTCGAACTCCTGAGCTCAAGCAGTCCTCCCGCTGTGGCCTCCCAGAGTGCTAGGATTATAGGCGTGAGCCACTGCCCGCTTGCAAAAGGTATTAATTTTTTTATGGCTGAGTAGTACTCCATGATACATGTATATCACATTTTATTCACTCACGAATTGATGGATGCTTGTGTTGATTCCACATCTTTGTGATTGTGAATTGTGCTATAATGAACATTCTAGTGCAAGTGTTTTTTTTGATAAAATGACTTTTTTTTCCTTTGGGCAAATACCCAGTAGTGGGATTGCTGAATCAAATGGTATGTCTACTTTTAGTTCTTTGAGAAATCTCCATACTATTTTCCGTAGAGGTTGTACTAGTTTGCAGTCCCACCAACAGTGTATAAGTGTTCCTTTTCTCTGTATCCATGCCAGCATCTATGTTTGTTTTTTTCTTTTCCTTTTCTTTTCTTTTTTTTCAGTCACAGGACCAGTGCACCAGCATCTATGGTTTTGGGACTTTTTGATAAAAGCCATTCTCACTTGGTATTAGGTGATATCTCATTGTGATTTTAATTTGCATTTCTCTGATAATTAGTGACATTGAGCATATTTTCCATATGTTTATTTCATATGTTCATATGTCATTAGTCTATCTTCTTTTGAGAAGCTTCTGTTCATGTCTTTTGCCCACTTTTTAATGTGGTGGTTTGATTTTTTTTTTTCTTGCTGATTTGCTTGAGTCCTTTGTAGATTATGGTGATTAGCCCTTTATCAGATGTATAGCATGTGAATATTTTCTCCCATTCTGTAGGTTGTCTATTTGCTCTATTGATTGTTTTCTTGACCATGCAGAAGTTTTTCAATTTCATTATCTTTGTTGTTGCTGCGATTGTCCTTAGGGTCTTCTTCATAAATAAATTCTTTGCCTAAGATGATATCTAGAAGAGTTTTTCCGACATTTTCTTCCAGAATTCTTATGGTTTCATGTCTGAAATTTAAATCTGTTATCCATCTTGAATTAATTTTTGTGAGTGGTGAAAGAGATGGATCCTGTTTCAATCTTCTACATGTGGCTATCCAATCTTCCCAGCACCATTTATTGAATAGGGCTTCTTTTCCCCAGTGAATATTGCTGTCTACTTTGTCAAAGATCAGATGGCAATATGTGGATGGGGATGGGTTTATATCTGCATTCTATGCTCTGTTTCATTGGTCTGTCTCTCTATTTTTGGGCTGGTACCATGCTATTTTGGTTACTATAGCCTTGCAGCATAGCTTAAAGCAGGTGTCCTCAAACTACAGCCCGCAGGCCACATGCTGCCTGCCCAGGACATTTATCCGGCCCACCAGGTGTTTTTGGCACTACTGCCTGTCCTGCTTAGCAGCTGACTCACCCCGGGCCCACAGTGCGTACTCTCCAATCGTCTGAGGGACAGTGAACTGGCTGCCTGTTTAAAAAGTTTGAGGACCCCTGGTAAAGTATAGTAAAGTGATGACTCTAGATTTGTTCCTTTTGCTTAAGATTGTTTTGGCTATTTGGACTCTTTTCTGGTTTCAAACAAAGCATAGAATTATTTTTTTAGATCTGTGAAGAATAATAGGTGTTTTGATGGTGATTGCATTGAATCTGTAAATCACTTTGGGTAGTATGGACTTTTAACAATGTTGATTCTGTCCATCCATGAGCATCACATGTTTTTCCATTTGTTCTCTTTGTAGAGATCTTTCACCTCCTTGGTTAAATATATTCTTAGGTATTTTATTTTCTTTGTAACTATTGTGAAAGGTATTGAGTCTTTGATGTCATTCTCAGCTTGACTGTTGTTGGCATATAGGAATGCTACTGATTTGTGTACATTCATTTTGTAGCCTGAGACTTTGGTGAATTAATTTATCAATTCCAGGAGTCCCTTGCAGAATCTTTGAGGTTTTCTCTAATAGATATAAGACAATATCAGCAAAGAGTGACAGTTTGACCTCCTAAAGAGCAGTTGGAAGTATATCTATTTGTTGGTCTGTATTGGGATATTTTTAGGGTCAGTGGGAAAGGAGAGAATGTCCTGTCTTGGAAGACTCTGAGTGTAGCCCAGGGAACTTGGAAGGGGAAGGTGAAAGATCTGTCTATTAATCTGCCCTTAGGTTTATCAGAGAAGCCAGGAAACAGGTATTTGGTATAGGCTAACATCCCATTAAGCCACATAGTATATGGCTGTGATTAAGAGCATAGGCTTTGAAATGAGGCAGACCTGGGCTTCTAGTCTTGGCTTCATCACCTTCTGGCTACTTGACCTTGAGCAAGATAACATCTCTTAAGCATCAGTTTTCATGTTTGTTAAATGGGAATGATAATAAAATGCTCTCATAGCATTGCTGTGAGGATTAGATGGGATAACATATAAAACTCTAAGCCCAAGTAGTGCATAATAATTGCTCCATAAATGTAGCCTATTAATTACAGAGTGCTTGCCTTGGACGGGGCCAGGCCTTTTACCTCCAGTACCTGATTTAATCTACATAGTCACACTAAGCAGTAGAAGTTGTTATCCACATAGTAACAAGGAGAAACTGAAGTTCTGAACATTATACAAGTAGTCAGCGGCAGAGCTAGGACTGGAAACCTAGGAACTGCCTCTGGAGTCCGTTTCCACTATGTGCTCTGCCTCCCCGAATGAAGGAGAACCCTCGCCACTGCCCACACCAGGATAGGCTCTGCAGGGGACTCCAAAGTCCCCTGGACATCCAAAGCAGTGGAGGCCAGACAAATGATCAGTATCCACAGGTGCTGCCCTCCTTACAAACAGTGTAGGTTCTACAAGACCATTGGAAGTTCATTTGTTTGAAAGCCCAAAGTTGTGTTACTCCAGCTACTCTTCATGCTGCCAGTTGGTGGCAAGAAGAACAGCCATGCTTGTGTTTTGATGAACAGCTTTGTTTGCAGCTGTAAAAATTTTTAATGTGAAAGTTTATAAGTAGAGGACTGTATAAGCTAGGGTCCTGAAAGAGGTAGGGACACAACCCCATGCACTCTCTGTGCACAGCCAGTAATGGTGTGTAGTGGGATTGGCACAGCTTCGTGGGGAGATGGTGGGGGGGGTGTAGTACTGGTGGCCTTCAAGGTGGGCCTTGAAGGAAGGGAAGCATTTTGGAAAAGTGGCAGTGGCAAGAAAGCAGCTGCAGAGAGTGTTACTGGTTTGTAAAACTGAAGCTTGATGTCATAGATTGAGGTGAGTTATGGAAAACTCCTTAATTTTTTTGTCTTTTAAAGCCTCTGATTATTTCACATGAAGGCAGGCCAGAGAGTTCAAGAAAGAGACAAATCCCCTTTCAGTCAACAAAAATATTTCTTAGCATCTTTGCCTTTCCCACACTTTTAGAGAAAACTTCCAGTACCCAAGTGCTTGCAGTTCTTTTATCTGTACCTTCAAATTCTAGATCTGCACTTTCCAGTAGGGAAGCTACTATCATGTGGCCATTGAGCACTTGAAATACGGCTCATCTGAACTGATGTGCTGTAAATGCACAACACACTGGATTTTGAAGTGTAATGAGAAGGTAAAATGTCTCATTAATTTTTATACTAATTACATGTTGAAGTAATAATATTTTAGATATATTGGGTTAAATAAAATGTTGTTAAAATTTTCACCTGTTTCTTTTTACCTTTTTATATATTTTTATTTGTTTTTTTTTTTTTTACAGATGGGTGTTTCTGTGTTGCCCAAGCTGGAGTTCGGTGGTTATTCATAGGCACGATCATAATGCATTACAGCCTTGAACTCCTGGGCTTAAGCGAACCTCCCACCTCAACCTGCTGAGTAGCTGGGACTATAGGTGCATACCACCATGCCTGGCTTTTTTTTTTTTTTTTTTTTTTTTACCTTTTTAATGTGGCTACTAGAAAATTTAAAATGACATATATGGTTCTCATTCATGGCTTGCATTCTATTTCTCTTAGATGGCATTATTCTAGAGAGATACCTGTTACATACTTATATCCATCCATTCTAGGGTTGCCTGAGTTGTAAATGGCTTGAGCTACTTGCATGTCAGGAGACATACCTGGTCATGAAGACATCATAGAGATTTAAGCTATCCATGGCTAGGTCATATACATCATTCTGAGCTTCATATTTTTCATTTGCATGGTGGAGACATTGGATCAAATATTTTCCATGGCCCCTTTCAATTTTAAAATTCTATGATTCTAGCTTGGAGTCAATGCTCAGAATCAACTATTAGCTTTTTCTGGGTTCCATTAAAGGTCTCCACTACTCCCTTTTCCAAGTATTAGAGAAAGTCAGTTATTCCCTTTTACCTCTGGGGTCATAAATTCTGGTGTGGAGGACTTCAGAGTGTTCTGCTAGATGAAAGAAACCTCCCTCCTCTTTTCCTTCCCTGACTATTGGTGCCATCTGGGTTTGCTTGAGTATGCACCTGAACAAGGTGGCTAAAGCAGCTGTTAAAATGTTACAGGTACCACAGAGCTTGGAGAGGTCTTAGTCCTTTGGTTCATGGCCAAACAAGCCTACTTTTAAATACCCCAAGTATGGAGATTCCACAAACTAACGTAGACACTTGGTTCCATAAAAACTGACTCTAAGTCCTTTCCCTTTTGGCTCTACTAATGTTAGAACAAGTCAGTCATTTCCCTTTTCCTGATGACTTGTAATTATCTCTATCAGCAATTCATCTTCTTATAATCTGTCCACTGTCCATCTATTAAATAAATATATTAAACATTGGACTATCTTCCAGTACACAGAGATGTAAGACTTGGTCGTTATCCATGAGGAACTCCTGGTTAATGAAGGAGCAGGCAGACCAACAAGGAGGAGACACACAGTGCTAGGTATCTCAAAAGGGGTATCAGGGTGTATATGGGTACAGGTGGGGAAAGCAAGCAACCCCATGAACAAACTCAGGCAATGAAACATTTAGTTTTGGATAAGAGTTTTTCTGTCTTCAAAGCAAGACAAGGTTTCAGTTAACTAACAATAAGTGAAAGTCTTCCCTATAAGTATATATTGATATAATTCCATTTAATGGAACTTGAGTGTCTGGATGGAAGCTTGTTGCTGCACTGAAATCCCTCTCATGGTACTGATCACATTGCAGTATTTTGCCATGAAATTTATTTTTCTTTTGGAATAAATCCTTACAGTGTGTTACATTTTTTTTAAAAAGTAAGGATATGGAAAAGGGATTATATAAAAGCAAAATTTTACTGGCTTAAAAAACAGGGGCACTGGAGAGGGAAAATATTGCTATGCCTATGGAGTCCATTTTATTGTAAATGCCTGAATCTTATCCCTAGTAAAGTCTTGACTTTTCTGTCAAAGTGTGTGGGTGAATAAAATATATATACACAGAGGTATTTTTGGTAGACAGTGCTTCTTGGCTTTTGATTTGAGGTTTGTAGGAATCCTAAAATGATAGGATAATAGGTTGGCTCAGATTGAAATCTCAGATAATTGGACTGACTGTGAGCATAGGAATGGTAATATCTAACATTTATATGCTGTGGGAGATGGTTATTTTGTTATGCAAACACAACAATTTATCTCTTTAGTGGATAGAAGATATTTTAAAGCATTCAACTTATATACTCATGTACTGTCTCTTATTAAAAGACAGTTTATCAAATGTTTATAAAATATACAGTCAATGTACAAATAGCTTTGTATATTAAATGCTACCAATGTGCATTTTGAAAAAGAAAACAACTTTTATATTCAACAGTGTGAAATTTAGATATTCATACTATAAGGACAGCATATTTATGAAAAATTTCCTTATAAATAAGGAACATCTAAAATATAGTATGAATTAATACTACTTCTATAATAAAAATAAAAAGCAAATGAGGTGATTTTATACTCTCTTAAGGCTTTTCTCATACACAAATCTAGAAATGAGAAGAAAATAAATAGGAATATCTCTAAAGGTACCTGTTAATATGCAGATATAGCTATATGATTGACACAGGCATTGGTAATTTTCTCTGGGGGGTGGTGGGGTTGGAGAGAGGTATATGTTAACATATATGTGTGTATATATGTTAATAACATATAAGGTATATGTTAGTAATAGCAGTGGGGGTAGCAACCTTTATGTAAATGTTGAACTTAGGAACGACAGGAGCAGCTTGCTGATCGCTGCCTGGAAAATAGCTTTATGTGAGAGTGGTGATGAGTTCTTAGTGTCTCTTTCTCGCTCTCATTTTCTCTGCCTTTCCCCGTGTGCTGCCCAAGAGTACTGTATTTTAGTTTTTGTGATTAAAATCGGTCCAATGTGAAAACAATTCGATGCCATTCCCTGATATAACTAATTTGGAAATCCCTAACATGGAGTTTGTGCATACGTGCTGGTGGCTGATGACTAGAGGCATCCCGAATGATTTGTAAAGATTGTCTGTGGGCACACAAGTAATCGGTACAGTGCGTACTTAGTTCTTGACAGTTCCAACAGCTGCTCTCAGTCCAGCTGTAAGCAGAATAATTTTCATTTATTACCATGCATGTAAAATGGAAAAGCTTACTATAAATTATAATTTCAAATATTCTCTATCATCTGGCCCATTCATAACAAGGCATAAAGTTTACTTAATTACTCAATTGTATACTCAGTCATTCATTCAGTAAATGTTCACTAAGTGTGTACTATGTGCCAGGCAGGATGTGAGGTACTAGGGGTGTAGCAGTGAACAAGATTGAAAAGGTCCTGAGCTTTACAGAAGAGACAGACGATAAACTCACCAGACCTGCCAATTACAGGTACAGTAAGTGATGAGAAAGGCACGCACAGGATAATGGAAATGTGTTTGTGCGCAGAGAAGAGGGGTGAGGAGAGGGCAGGGGGTGGTGGGGTCTATTTTAGTATAAGATGATCAGGGAAAGTCTAAGGATGTAGTAATTTAGGTGAGACCTGAAAGAATAAAGGAATGAGCCTTTCCATGTGAAGATGGTTTCACATGGTGTTTAATGGACTCAGGACTGAGGTGGTACCCCTATAATATGCTGAAATAAAAAAAACAAAGCTGAGGTGGTTTTGCTTTGTGTGATGCCACGTGTGTGCAGTACTGACATTCTGAATTGGTCTTTTCTAACTGGCCAGTTAGAAACGACATTGACCTGGCCCTAGAGCAGAGGCTTGGAGCGCCCTGTTAGGTCGGTCAGTAGTAAGCCCTTATTTACTGGGTGGGTGGGAAGGTGTGGGGCAGCTGGGTGGCACTCAGAGAGCTCGGGGACCACAGCCACTTTCTATCATGGTATGGAAGTATTCCAGTGTTTATAAGAAAGTAGAGTGGCATGTGTAGCAGCTGAACACCAGCCATGCTTGTGTGTAACTTTATAACCAAAGGAATTTTGACTAACCATCTTCTAAATTCTGGCTACTTCACATGGATTAGTTGAAAAAAAAAAAAGAAGGGTTAAATTCTGGTTTTCAATGCCAGCCGTCATATGGTTTTATTACTACAGTCTGGGTCCCATTTGGAGGGGGTAGCCTTATCAGAATGGATGTATTCCTCCCAAGAAGGCAACCAACCTAACTCCATGTGTCTTTTATAGGCGGCATCACTGTCCACATCTCCCTACCAAGATTTATGATAAAACAGAGAAACCATGTCTACTCTCCGAATACACCGAGAACTACCCTATCTATCACTCTTACCTGCCCAGAGAGTCCTTCAAGCCCAGGATGGAGTACCGGAAAGGGTCCATACCGATGGAAGGCCTGACCACAGCAAGGTGAGGACAAATAGCATCAATGTATGCAAGTATAACACTACAATACCAATGTACAGTACTCACATGCAATATTAATGCAATGTGCAGTATCGATGCATTAATGTGCAGTATCGACATATGGAATGACTGCCTTAATGCTAATGTACTGTGTCTCTGAAAAAAACCCTATTAGCCTGCTTGATTTTTCCCCACACTCCCCCTTAAAAAAGATTCTTGCTTGCTGGGGTTAGGTGCAGGGGAAGGCTAAACTGATCTATATATTAAATAATAAAGGCTGGAAGATAAGTAAAGTAATAAAGGGATGGAAAAAAGGGGAGGGCTGCTGAGTTTTGGGCTTCATCACATGAGAGGATCCAGATCAGCTTGGGTGGTGGTGGTGAAAGAGAACTTGATAATAGAGAAAAAAATGAGCCTTTTTGGAAATTATTCTGTAGATTTTGAATTGGCATTCTCCTAAATGTTCTTTAAGAAATATGAACAAAGTGGCTGGGTGTGGTGGCTCATGCCTGTAATCCTAGCACTCTGGAAGGCCGAGGGAGGAGGATAGCTTGAGGCTAGGAGTTCCAGACCAGCCTGAGCAAGAGTGAGACCCTCTCTCTACTACAAACAGAAAAATTAGCCAGGTGTGGTAGCACAGACCTGTAGTCCTAGCTACTTGGGAGGCTGAGGCAGGAGGATTCCTTGAGCCCAGGAGTTTGAGGTTGCAGTGAGCTATGCTGATGCCACTGCACTCAAGCCCAGGTAACAGAGTAAGACTTTGTCTGAAAAAACCCCAACCAAACAAAAAAACAAAAGAAAACCCCAGAGTGTATTTCCTTTTCAATTACTCTTGATTTCCAAACTAAGATTTTTTTGATCTAGGTCTGTGCAGAGGCTGAGCCACATGGTTCAGTGCCTGTGTCTGTATTGAGGACATGGAGGAAGATTCTCAGACTTAGGGTTGTTCCACATGTTGTAAGGCTCTAGCAGAATCTGCTATTGACAATTAGGTTAGTGACCTCCAGGTAGTGACCGGTGACTGGCGATCCAGCAGAGTAGAAACATTTTTGGTGTGATTGGGCAGAGTCTCAGATGGTACAATTTTGTCCCCAGGTGAGACCCGAAAGATTGATGTTGTTTTCTGCCTTCTCCGTTCCTCCTTCGAAGGGCAGGATTGCTGTGAGGTAGAGGTGATAGTGTGTGCTAATTGTGCCAGCACGGTGCTTGCACATTATGGGTGCTTAAGACCTGGTGACTTCTCCTTCTGTTACTGCCCATTTGCCTTATAATTTTGTGATAGTAAAGGTCCCAGATGGCTCAGGTGAAGCAGAACAGCTCTAACTCATTCTGTGTTTAGGTTTTCCCTGGGATAGGGCTAGAAGCATCTGCTCATGAGGTTGTGGATTGTAGGTACTCCTATTGACTAACAGCTGCTATCTTCTAGATCCACGGGTAGTCCCTGTCTGGGTTATGGGGGCAGGAGGACCCACAGATGGATAAACACAAGGCCAAAGGAGTCCTCAGGTTGGCAGAGACCTCTGGGCAGGGGGGAGTCGAGGGCCTTGTCTGATGCTTGATTCAAATCCGGTCACTTTTATTCTAAGCATGTATCTTAAATGATTTAGTTTAAAGCATGATGTTTCTGGTTCCTGATGTATTAGAAAGTTGTAACTTTATGTAATCATTTTTTCAACCTACGATTTATTAAACAATATGAACCCTAAAGTTGGTGCTTCATTTTGCCAAGAAAACAGCATCCTTGGTCTCTGAGAGTCTACAGACCACAAGGAGAGATGTGAACCATTCCTGAGCATGGCTTTCGTTTTAAGAAACCCTGGTCAACATCGATGAGGAGTCCTGGGAAAAGGATGGATAAGAGACATGTAATTGGTAGAAAAGGATGAGAGAGGTGATGAGGGATGGTTTGCAGACATTATGTTCAGCCTCCTACTCAATTTACAGGAAATCAAGAGCACAATGTGAGTTGTACAGTTGACTTTCAGATGCTCTATCTCCTGTCCTGGAAGTCTAGAAGAGGATGCTTTGAGGGTTGGATGTCGAGGGATGCTCTTTGTTAGTCGCCCACAAGCTTAGGAGAATGAGGACAAGCCCTTGGCTCGGGCGGGAGCTCTACCCCATCACCAAGCTCCACAGCGCCAGATACAACCCCACATACCCCACTCCTCCCGATGGTGCTTGCAAAACAAAAACTTACCCTCTGACCTGTCCTAAATTATCCTTGCTGTGTGTCACTTGCAACAATAAACATATCACCCAGAAAGGCCCCTCTGCTTCTGGAAGAGCCAGAGTAATGATAAATATGATTTACATCAAGATGTGGCTAAAGTGGAAGAATGCAGATACTGAAAGCGTTTCTAAAATAAGCTGTTAATGATCAAAAGGCCATTAAAAAGAAAAACTGGCAGAATAAAAGTGACCCAGGAGGAAGAAAAAGAGCAGACATGGGTCTCTCTTCTCTATTTTCTAGGAAAATACAAAAGGAGGAAATGACCAGAAGATGTGTATTCTCTCCCTCCTACCCTCAATTTTATTATTTTTCAACCCTGTGCCTGCCATGCTAGCCACTAGTTTTCATAGACCGAGGACAAAGTCTGCTGCTGTCAGGAAAGGTAGAGAAGCCTTTATTGGAGTGTTCCAGGGGCTTCTAGGGGAAGGGATGGGTCAGCCCCCCGTCTGCACAGCCCTGTGTCTGCTCAGATTGTCCCCCCTCTGTTCTTAGGACTCATTACTGGAACATCCCACCCACTTCTTTATCTAAACTTTGACCCCGCTTGGTTTCTGAGGTTGGACGGGGGCTCCCACCTGCTGAATGAAAACGTCATGTAGCCCAGGGCTTAGCTGGGTTTGGTGATTAAGCCCAGACACAAAAAACACCTGGTTTCTGGAAAGGTTATCATCCCAGCATGAGGCATGATTACAGCTGCACACAACTCTTACTGACCATAAATCTTGGGGATTTACAGCAGGTGCCATGAGGGGAATGCTTGCGATTTCCAGCCCTTCTTAGTGTGAAACTGTTTCTTGCAGCTCTTGGTAATTTTCTAGGATAGGATCTGCCTTTGGTTCTGATAGACCCGAGATCAATTTATAAATAAGAGGTTTGCACTTTAAGCCTCATTTCCCCTTAGGCATGTCACCATGTAAAACACTTGGCCCCCAGTTTGGGACATTTATTTCTGTTGGCTAAGCCAGCTCCCTAAAGGTAGGCAGAATGAATAGTCTCTGAAGACAGAGGTGAGTCTTCAGTGGTGTTAGACGTTTATCCTACAGAAAGCAGGACTGGGGGTAGAGTGGGAGGGAGGCACAGAGGGGGGATGCAGAATTGGGTTCAGACTTGATGGCTTTGGCTAAAAGGCAGAGGGCAGGGAGTTGCTAGCATAGACTCATTTTTTTGGTGAGACTCTTTGGTAAACTGAGGAGAGTAATGAAGGGAAGAGCCAAAAGAGGGCATTGGGCAACCTCCAAAAGCCGGGAAAGAAGCAAGAAAGCAGGTAGCAGCCTTGAGTCTTGCCCCACCCACTGAATTTTACACATTTTTTGTTCAAATGCATATTTGGCTCCCCTACTCAGAGCTGTACCCCTGGGGATATGCTTACTTGCCTCCACAGACTGGGTCTGAGAACTGATGAACACACACAGATACGGTTCTCAGCGTTGGGCTCGCCTGCACAGTTTCAGAGCCTATGAATTGACCTGGATTAAATTTGCAAACATTTGGCCATTATTTCCTCAATTATTTTCTTCTGTCCTTGATGCTCCATTTCTTTCCCCCAATCTTTTCTCCCCCTCTTTCTTCTTCAGACTGGATGGTTTCTGTTAAATCTAGTTTCACATTGACCAAGTTTTTCCCCCTGCATCTTTATTCTGCTATTAAGCTCATCTAGAGAATGTTTTATTCCACATCTTGTGTTTTTCAGTTTTAGAATTTATACTTGGTTATTTTTATTAACGCTTCTGTTTTTCTTTTCTGATTTCCTATCCTTTAACTCATTATGACCTTATTTTGCTTTTCCTCCTTGAGTATAGTTAAAATATAGGCTTTAAAATTCTGTCTGCTAATTCCAACATCTGAGTCTGCTTGGGGGTTGGTCTCCACAATTGCCTTTTTATTTATTTATTTTTTTGAGCATGCGTCAGATTTTTCTATATGCATGTCATATATGTCAAGTAATTTTGGACTGATTTTATACATTGTGAATGTTATTTGTTGTAGACTCTCTAGATATTTTTTACATTCCTGCAAAGAGCATTTGTTCTTTTTTGGACAGGCTCAAAATGCAAACTTCCTGTCTTGGTTGGCAGTTCACATGTCAGTTTAGTTCTTTATCTGTAGCACGGTTGCTTGAAGTCTGCCTGCTTATGCAAGGTCAAGCAGAGATTTGGGCCCAGGTTATCTACAGAATTTGGGGCTTCCTGTCTTTGGCTTTCTCCTTTATGAGATTCCTTCTGCGTTTTCCAGCACCTGTGGTTGCCTCAAAGTTGATCCTCTGGTACTTTGGTCAAGAAAATATAATCAAGATAGACTTGTCTTTTAGCTGTCAGATTGCCATTTTCTTCTTCCATCTGTTGGCCGCCTCCAGAATCTGCCTGTTTTGGTTACTCTGTAGTGCTTTTAGGTAGCTTTTTCTATTTTTGTCCAGAGTGTGTATGAAGTGAGGGCAGATGTTAGCCTCAGCCTTGGTGTGGGGGTTGAGGCATTGAGAGGGTAGAGGAGGAGATAAGGACTGTGTCACTTGGATCCTGGAGGGCGTGTGCTTGAAATGTCATTTGTTACAGTGAGACCAGGACTCTGTGTCCTGTCAGGATCAGGGGCACGGATCAAGCCCTGTGACTCAGCTGTGAGGGATCTTTCTTGGTATATTGGGATGGCCTCCCCAATCTTCCTGGGATGACAGACTGGTTTCCTTAGAGGTTGTCTTTTGACCCTGGGAATTTTGAGAATTACATGTGGAAATAAGAAGTCAATGGACAAAGAACAAAACCCCATAGGGGAGATTGAGGGGGGACAAGTCATGAGGAATAGTCTTACATCACAGAAGTCAAGGGAGAGAGCATTTAAACAATGAGCGAAGGGGTAGATGCTATGATGAAGTTGCAGTGGGATCAGGAGGACAAAGAGTGACTGAATCCAGAAATGGCAGCACTTGCAGGGCATGGCGGGCCAGAGCAAGGAGTGAGTAGAGTCAGATTAGAGGGGTGTGGCCCGAGTGGGAGGTGAGGAAGGCAAGTCTGTACTTGCAGAAGGGAAGGGGAAGAGAACTGGAGGAGAATGGAGTCCAGTGAGGGTTGTGTCGTGTTTTTTACCTTTAGTTTTTTTTTTTTTCGAGACAGAGTCTCGCTTTGTTGCCCAGGCTAGAGTGAGTGCCATGGCGTCAGCCTAGCTCACAGCAACCTCAAACTCCTGGGCTCAAACAATCCTGCTGCCTCAGCCTCCCGAGTAGCTGGGACTCCAGGCATGTGCCACCATGCCTGGCTAATTTTTTTATATATATTTTTAGTTAATTAATTTCTATTTTTAGTAGAGATGGGGTCTCACTTAGGCTGGTTTCGAACTCCTGACCTCTAGCAATCTGCCCTGCTCGGCCTCTCAGAGTGCTAGGATTACAGGCATGAGCCACCGCGCCCGGCCTATTTTTTACCTTTAAAGATGGGAGACAACCCTCCCTGTAGGAAGGAGGAGGGAAAACCACAGTCTATCGTGTTTCCCCAAACATAAGACAGGGTCTTATATTTATTTTTCCTCAAGAAGATACCCTAGGGCTTATTTTCAGGGGATGTGTTATTTTCCCCTCAAAGCCTCAGCTTGCAGCACGCACAGGATGCTCAGGACCTTACAGAAGTAGTCGACCTTGTTGATGGGGCTGCCTGCACCTTTCCAGTCACCTCTGGGATAGTAGCTGTCACTATGGGGCAGATGAGAAGGGCTGCTCATCTTCTTTACTGCTCTGCCATGAAATGCATGTGTTGTTGTGCAGATATGCCACGTTGCCACGCCCATCACTAGGTCTTATTTTTGGGGTAGGGCTTAGAAATCCTGCTAGGCCATAAGACCTATAGTTAGGTCTTATTTTTGGGGAAACACGGTAAGAGGTGTCCACAGACAAGCTTCCTGAGAAAGAGAGGGGCTGTATTCGGGGGAGGGGTGAAAGATTTGCTATGGGGGAAATGAGGGACTCCTCTTACTTGGACACACAATTTCTGAGGTTTGCATAGGTAAATATTAAACATAGATTTAAAAAGTGTTAGGCCGGGCGCTGTGGCTCACGCCTGTAATCCTAGCTCTTGGGAGGCCGAGGCGGGCGGATTGCTCGAGGTCAGGAGTTCAAAACCAGCCTGAGCGAGACCCCGTCTCTACTATAAATAGAAAGAAATTAATTGGCCAACTGATATATATATATAAAATTAGCCGGGCATGGTGGCGCATGCCTGTAGTCCCAGCTACCCGGGAGGCTGAGGCAGAAGGATCACTGGAGCCCAGGAGTTTGAGGTTGCTGTGAGCTAGGCTGACGCCACGGCACTCACTCTAACCCGGGCAACAAAGTGAGACTCTGTCTCAAAAAAAAAAAAAAAAAAAATAAAAAAAAAAAAAAAAAAAAAAAAGTGTTGCATGGCCCCTTTGCCATGGTGAAAATTTCCATTTTCCACTTCCAGGCTCCTGACCCTAGTTGGCTGTTATTTCCCCTTTCCCTTTGTCAGATTCCTGTCAAACACCTTTCTTTAGCTTTGCCAAATGATTTGAAGTCAAGTTGTTATGACTTCCCCAGCAGGGCCACTTTAACCTTTACTTAACTCTGAGTTTAACTCCTGGCCTTCCATACTACATAACTTTTATAGCTGCTTACCCCAAAGAAACTTACATCTTTGACCAATTTTTTTTTTTTCTTAGTTCATAGCCATCGTGGGCACAGGGACTGGAGAATGTGCCACAGGAAAAGAGGGGAGAGCCAGTGTCCTTAAAATACAATAATTGAAAAAAGCTATTCAATTTGAGCAATTGTGGGGAAGAATAAAGACTTTTCTTTGACGTGAACGTAAAAGCTGTAAGGTTATGTGTGATTGGGGACATGCAGTTATGTCGTGGTTAATGATAGGCTTCAGTGAGTGTTCCCAACATAAAACATAATGAGGAAACACATAAATTCTGATTAAATTCGCTCTGAAGCCACAGTAACTATTTTCAGGTAGGGTATATATAAATCAAACTTTAAACGTTTTCCTGTCTTCAGAAGTAGATAATTTATTTTCTCGTAATCATTTGCCTTAGTTATAGCTGATCAATAAATTCAACCACAGATGCACATTTACAAAGGAAGTTAGATTTCATACTGGAGGAGGAGATTAAGATGTCATTCCCTGAACATGGGGAGCGAGGATTGTGCTGCATTCGCTTTTGTCTTCGAGAAACCAACGTCAGGATGGTCCAGGAACTGGCGAGAAGGGTCGTGGGCACTTACCTGCTTTTTTCCTGTAGAAGCAGCAGGAGACAGGGGCATTCAGTGTGCTTCAGTTGTCAGAGGGCCTGGCAGCCCTTGAAGGAAGGTTCTCGCAGCATGTCTGAGAGGAAAGTAGCAGTAACAGCAGGAGAGCATGCCATGGCCTCCGTGAGCAGCATTCGTGAGCATGGCGGGCTCACGGCTGGAGAGCACTGCTGGGTACCCTGAGGTTGGAGGGCTCCACGAGGCAGCTCAGATGTCAGCTTTGTTCCTCACCACTTGGCCTTGGTGTCTCCTGCTGCTGCTCGGAAGTGAAGAGGGCCGAAGGCTTGGGTAGCCACCACTGATCGCGGGTTTATGAGGGTTTAGCAACGTATCGTCTCAGGTTGCCTCAAAACCCTGTTCCATCCCTTCTGGGTGTGAGTGAGGAGAGCCCTACTTCCCTTGGGAGCACTCCATTTATTTTATTATTTTATTTTATTTATTATTTTTATTATAGCACAACTTATATATTTCAAATGGACAAAAAATTAGTATCATTTACAGTATCTTAAGATAAATTGCCTTTGAATGGGAGCTTCCTTTCTAGTACTTTGAGGTCTATAAGACATATCTAGAAAATTTACTACTGTGGAAAATGAAGACTTCTTAAATCGAATGGGGGTAAGGGGAAGGGCCTGTGGTTTTTCCTTTTGATTAATTGCTGTAACACTGTCCTTCAGGTGGCTGAGGGAGTTTCATATTTTCTTTAGACATCATTAGGTGCCGAAGCTCTTGCAGGACAACTTTGATGCTATATGAATTCTGCCATTTTGCTAGCACTGATATGGCTCTTGGATCCACCACTCCATTAGAACTATTAACTCCATTCATATTAATTTTTGTTACAAATCTTACAAAGGGGGGTGCTTCTGGGTATTTAGGTCCACATTCTATTTTAAGGCTGTATATTCGGTTTTCATAAATTGACTGAGCCCGCGGTGGCTGCCATCTTGCCGGGAGCACTCCCTTTAGAAGGCAAACTTTCCAGCCAAAAGCCCCTTTCCAGTTATTTGGTTTTCAGACGAAAAAATTGGGCATCTCCGTTTGTCTCTGTAGCCTAAGGTTTAATCCGCAGTTGGTTTAGTCCTGAACACACATCAGGGTGAGACACTTATTCACTAAGAAGGGTGCAAGTGTGAAGCTGACCCGTGGCTTCTTGTTTAGCCTGTTCGCTTCGTAAGCCCCGATATCCACAGTGAGCTTCCGGATGCCTCAGGCCAACAGTGGGGCCCCCGGGAAGGGAGCGCACGTTGAACCCCTATAACTGTGACTACAGCATATTTTTAAATCTACCCAGAGGGTGTTATGGGAGTTCAACTGAAGCATCTCCCATTTCCTCCTTAGAGCCCTAGAGAGACTAATTCTCCTGCTTCCAAACTCCTTCCCCATCCCATCCCCAGCAGTTTCGGCACCCGGTTTGTGTTTACTGACAACCACGTGTGTAAGTCATGCAAGACAGGTTACAGTGGAGCGTGTTACCTTTGCTAGTCAAGCATGGCTCAGCAACACTGCTCCAGATTGTGGCCGGGAAGTAGGTTTTATTGGTGTTTGGCCCTAATGTTTTCCTGTCCGGAAACCTTCCCTTTCCCTTGGTGGGTGGGGGCTGTTCTGGCAAGCCCCATCGGGGAAAATCCACCTTCCTCTTAGGATAAATGGGTTCCAGGCAAAAACGGTCTATTGTGTGAAGCAGAAGCCCTTGGGTGAGGGGGGAGTGTTAGTGTTGAGAAGTGGGAAGTTGAGTCTGCCCTGGTGGGCAGCCCAAGCCCGCACTCAGTCCTGGTGTTGCCAGGGCGGTTCCGATGGTGTTGCAGTGAGCAGCGGGGCCTTTGTCACTGTGGGACGCTTTGAGAGGGGACTGCTTCCTGCTTGGTGAAGACCGTCATGCTTTTTCAATCCTACTGTTTTCATATTCCCTGGAATAACAGGGACACTGACACCAGATAGTGCAGACATAAAAGATTCAGGATCTCCATTTATTGCATTTTTCTCCTTTTCTGTGATGTCAAGTAGAGGAAGGAGATAAATATTCCCGGGAGAAGGTTTTGGGAACACAGCAAGGGAGGTTGGTGGTGCCTGGAAGGAAGAAGTTAGCCTCACAGTGGAGAGGGTGGGTGGGAGGAAGGGGAGAGGGCAGCCCGGGAAGAGGGCCCTTGGTGGTGGTGGGAGCGCAGCATGGTCGGGCGGGGTGGGGATGGAGGGAGGAGAGGATTGGGTAGCAAGGCAGGGCCGAGGTCCAGGAAAGCTTATATATAAATCATGGTAGAAAGTTGGATTTTTTTTTTTTTTTTTTTTTTTTTGAGACAGAGTCTCCCTTTGTTGCCCAGGCTAGAGTGAGTGCCGTGGCGTCAGCCTAGCTCACAGCAACCTCAATCTCCTGGGCTCGAGTGATCCTTCTGCCTCAGCCTCCCGGGTAGCTGGGACTACAGGCATGCGCCACCATGCCCGGCTAATTTTTTATATATATATCAGTTGGCCAATTAATTTCTTTCTATTTATAGTAGAGACGGGGTCTCGCTCTTGCTCAGGCCGGTTTCGAACTCCTGACCTTGAGCAATCCGCCCGCCTCGGCCTCCCAAGAGCTAGGATTACAGGCGTGAGCCACAGCGCCCGGCCAGAAAGTTGGATTTTTATCTGGAAGATTTTTAAGCTGGGGAGAGAGATGATCTGATCTTTAGAGAGTTTGTTCTGACCACACTGTGGGGTTGAAGTAGAAGAGGCAGGAGTGAAGCAGGAGGCTCGGGGGGTGGGAGGCTACGCTGCCACCTGATCCAAGTGAGAAATGGCCCTGGGCTGGACCACTGAGGAAAACAGACTCTGGGGCCACAAGGGGAGGGGGTCAGGGATGATGTCCAGGTGCCTGGCTTGGGTGGGAAGGAAATGGTGGTGCCTTTTTCAAAAGTAAGAAATAGAGAAGGAAGAGCAGTTGGAGTTGGGGGATAGAGTGGAAGGTGATTTCTCAGCAAATGTTCATAGAGTTGGAAAACTTAAGCCTTATTACAAGCCAAGGACCCCAACGATATGTGCTTAATTTCCTTACAGGAGAGATTTTGGGCCTCACAAAGTGGTACCAGTGAAGCTCCACCAGCACAAGCCATTTGTCCCAAGTGGAGAGAACATGGATTTGCTCACGACATACAAACAAGATTACAACCCCTACACTGTCTCTCGCACGGACCCCATCAAACCTCGGGACAGTAAATATCCATGTGGCAACAAGATGGAGTGTTTGCCTACTTACAAAGGTGGGTGAGTGCTTGAGGGGCAGGCTGGGGGTAGGATCGGCCATGCCTGTGTGCCAGCCAAGAAATGTGTTTTATGTGCACAGCCCCTTAGTACAAGGGTCAACAGCAAACTACTTACCCCAGCCAGCTTGGGGACTAGCAGCCTGTTTTTGTATAGCTGGAGAACTAAGAATGGTTTAAACATTTTTTAAATAATTACAAAAAATCAAAATATCATTTCAGGACAGTGAAAATTATAAATTATATGAAATTTAAAGTCCAGTATTCATAAGTATGTTAAGTATGTTGTATTGGATCGCAGGCATACTCATTCATTTATGCATTATCTGTGGCTACTTTTTGCATTATATGGCAAAATTGCGTAGTTGTGAAAGAGCCCCTATGGTCTGGGAGGCCTGAGACACTTAATATCTGGCCCTTTATAGAAAATATTTGCCAACCCCTGCTTTAGATTGCTGTTTGAGTCTTATGCTGTGGAAGCATTTGAAGTTCAAGCTAAATTGGTATCTACAACTGATTGAGGGAGTGATTCCTTCATCCATTTAAAAAAAATTGAAATGTAACGTATGTACAGAAAAGTGTACAAATCATAATTACATAGACGAGTGAATTTCTACTGAACACACCCATATAAATAGCAGCCAGATCAATAAATATCACATTACGACTCCCTTCACTCACCCTCCCCAACCAGAATGTAGCAATTATGCCGACCTTTAATACCTTAGATTAGTTTTGCTACTATAGTCTTGATCTTTGTGTAAATGAGTTGCTTCATTCCTTACTGAGTACCTGTTACCTATGAGGCATAGTCCTGGGAACTGTGAAGGAAGTGTAATGACCCACCCTTGTCCCTCTCGTCTAGCAGGAGAGACAAGACATGCAGCCATGGGTGTGGGGCAAGCAGTGTAGTGGACGCCCGCTCTGTGGAGTTCGGCCGCAAAGTCCGAAACCGTGGGAGTGGATGCCAGGTTTGCAATTGATAACTTGCTTGGACGCCCACTGTTGCCCTAGAAGGACACACTAAACAGTTCGTGGATCTCTAAATGACTGTGATGAGGGTTACTTTTATTAAGTCAAGCCAAGCATTTAGGCTGGAGTCAGGAAGCCGGAGGGATGAAAGACTCTTCCTAGAAGGAGCTCTAAATCTGTCATTCTGGAGGACCTCGGGTATGGTTGAGCTTGTCTGCTTCTTCCAGGAGCCGAGATTCGGGACTGGGCTGCTGTGGCCCTCTTCAGCAACCTGGGCTCTGTCCTGTGACTTTCTTATCTTTAGCTTCCTTTTCTAACACTCCCTCATGGCTGCCTTTCGTTAAGCTACATTCCCGATGTTATCATACCCCCAAATGGCCCCACCTCCAAAACCTTTGTGCACCCCAACATCCTGTCCTTCTGGCTTGTTCTCTGCTCCCACCGCAACAGTCCTTGGCCAAGGACACACCCTTCCCTGTCCCCGTGGAGCCTATTGCACGTTACGTCATGGCAGCCCATCTCCTGCCTGTACCCTGAACTCTCGCTCCCTTCTGTCCTTCCGTTGTTTCCTTCTGGCAAAGCCCTAACCCTGCCTTCTCCTTGTCTGCACCTGGGTGCACACCTGAGCGTATCTCTAGACTTGTCAGCTCTTATCCATTTGCCACAGAAAGGAAGAAGAGAGGTCTTTTAAAAATGACAATCCAGTCTGACCTCTCCTTTGCTTAAAACCCCTCAAATAATCATTGTGGTTCTTAGGATAACACCCCAAATCTGACTGCCTCCGCCGACGCCGTGGAGGTCTTCTCTTCTCCTCGCTGAGCCCCTCTGCTCCAGCCTCCTTCCGGCTTTCTTCCTCCATCTCTTTTCTGCCTCAGGGCATTTAGCACATGTGATTCCTTCTGTATAGAGCCCCCTGCTCCCTTGCTCTGGAACTCATCCCTCTGCGAGTAGCTGAAATGTCACACTCCCAGACCTTCCCCCGTGCCGGCCTGGTCGCTCTCTGGTGCCTTGCACTCCCCTGTCTTGCCATTCGTTAGTTTTACGTAGCATTTGTCTCCTCGGCCAGACTGTAAGCTCCAAAGGGGCAGGCATCTGTCTTTTTCTTTGCCAATTACCCCTCTCCTCCATGGCAGGCACCATATGGGTGTTTTACAAAGGAGTCCACACAGCCACGTTCATGGTAGGGCAGCACTTTTTCTCCTACCAAGTGAGTTCTTTTCCCTTTTCAGCTAGTGTTTACAGGAAGACCAGAAACAAGGCACCACAGACACTGAACAGGTGGGATGGAGGAATGAAAGCGGAAGAGTGTTTTCCTCAAACGGGAGAGGGAGTAAGGGATAGGGGCAGGAGATAGGACATGTCCAGCTACAAACTCCCCTTTCCTTCATACCTGTTTGCTGGCCCCCTTGCTTCATGAGTGTTGGCGTAGTGAGAGGCTCTTTAGAACAACTGCCTGCTCAGCTCGGTTTCCCTCCCCTACCCTGCCCTCGGTGCAGGGAGAGGTGGGGGAGTGAAAAATACTCCCTGTTTGCCTTAGGGGTTGGCGAGCCCAGCAGCAAACCCGATGGTGTTATTTAAAGAAGAGCTCTCCCTATTCCTCCCCGGCAAACTACTGACCCCTCAAAATATAAATACATCACAACTTCTGTGGCTGGCTTAAATTTAAAAAAAGGTAAAAAAAAAAAAAAAACAACACAGCTTCTGTGGCTATAATAAACAAGAAACCAACAAGATAAGAATGCACACAGAAAAAACACACCTAATATTATGCTTTAATCTCTTCCACCTCCAGCTTTCCCATGTTCCTTTCTTTGCACAGCGACATCTCAAACTGTCCTTTGCAAATCATAGAAGAGTAGTATACCACTGCTAAAACGAAATCATGGCTGACTTTTCCCTACTGATAAAGTTAAAATTGAGAAAATCCTGTTTTCTTCTCCCTTCATTTTCCTCAAACTTCTTGCACCTGACAACTGCTTGCCTGCTTAAATAGAATTAATAAACAAATTCCAGTCAAGTATCCATGGCACTACTGAGAACCAGGCATACATAGATAGGTAGGGATTTTGCTTTGGGACTATCTCCATGTGAGGATGGATTTCATAGTTTTCC